TTTTTGAGACAGGGTCTCCCTGTAGCCCCAGCTGTCCTGGAACTCGCTATGTAGACCAGGCTGGCCTTGAACTCACAGAGATCCTCCTGACTCTGACTCCCAAGTGCTGGGATTAAAGGCGTGCGCCACCACGCCCAGCTTGGGCATCTATATTTTTACCTATGAGCTATTTATTTATTTAGCAGTGCCTGGAATTAAATCTAGGTCCTCATGCATGAGGACAAAAAGCAGACATTTGTTTTACTATCACCTGTCTAGAAAGTATGTTATAAAAGTCTGTATTTTACTGGGAAAAGTCTAAGCACCAAAGTTCAGGTTTTCACATGCTCAGCATATTTCAAAGACAAATGAATGCTTAACCCTGATCTCCCCGAAACAGTAACTAAAAATCCTGAAAACTGTCATTTGATTGTGCTGCTCTATACATGTCCCAATGAGCAGCCCCTCACACCTGCCAGTGGATGAGGGGAGGTAACAAGCAAAGTTAGGCCTGCTCTACATATATTTACTATTAGGCCAAATACTATTGAGAGATAAAAGGATAAAAGTTCACTAACTACCACAAAGTAGAAAAAGTAAAAGCAGAATCCAAGAAATTGTGTGAAGCCCCTCCCAAGGCCCTGGGGCAGACCTGGCTTTGGTAGGATAAGGCTGAGATCTTATCAGACTGCCTGAGAGGGTGGGTTCCGACCTCCACCTGTGTAGCAGCTGTGATCCAGCAGACCACCAGAGTGCTTGTTTTCGGTCTCCCTCTGGCATAGGGGCTGAGAACTCAGGGAACTTCTGAGAGCGCCCAGATCCTGCCTCCACGTGGTGCTATCAAAATGCCTGAAAACAAATCCTGAATCCATCATTCAGGATTTGCTTTCAGGCATGGCAGACAAAAGAAAAAGAGGAGGAACCCAATAGAGGGATGCTTTTGGAAGCTCTCGTCAAGAAATTCCAATGGACTCTCATATGAACATTTGAAATTTGCCCTGTTCTGACTTTTTTCTAGTTCTCTAACACTTGTAATGCTAATTACTCTTGCCTTTACTTCTCCTTCAAATCTCCTACTCACCAGTCAAGGACTTTCTTTTCCCTACAGATAAGAGTTATGCAATTTGGGAGTCTTTTAGATCTACCCACTGAAAGGGTACCCCAATTGCCTCACCCTGCCTCCCTGTTCAGCATGGAAGAAGCCAGAGTGATTTGCATTCTCATTCTCTATCTGCAAGCTGGGTAACCTCTTCAGAGGATGGTATGATAAGAATAGGAGGTAGGAACTGGCTAGGCAGTTAGTGAAAAGTAGCCAGCTTCTTGGCTAAAAGTCAAAATGTCCTTGAGCCTTGTGCTAGATAGCTTTAGTGTCAACTTGACACACCTGGGTTGAGGGAGCTCAATTGGGAAATTGCCTTCATTGGACTGGCCTGTGGCCATATCTGAGGGACATCAGCCCACATGGGTGGTGTCACCCCTGGGCAGGTGGGCCTGTGTTGCATAAGAAAGCAGTTTCTTGATGAGTGACGTAGGAGGGCCCAGCCCACATGGGTGGTGCCACCCCTGGGCAGGTGGGCCTGTGTTGCATAAGAAAGCAGGCTGAGCAGGGGCCAGGGGAGCAAGCCAGTAAGCAGTGTTCCTCCATGGCCTGTACTCCAGCTCCTGCCTCCAGGTTCCTGCCCTGAGTTCCTACCTTGGGCTCCCTGATGAACTGTGACCCGGGATATGTAAGACAAATAAACCCTTTCCTCCCCAAGTTGGTAGTGGTCAGAGTGTTTTGTCACAGCAATGGAGAAACAAACTAGGACAGGCTTCTTAGCAACATACTATGTTCCAAAGGCCAAAAATGTTGAAAGTGGAGCTCTCATCTAATCCTTAAAAGATTTTAGGGCTACCTCTTCAGAGGAGGGGATGTTAGAGTAGTCAAAAGCCCCATTAAAAAAAAAAAAAGAAGAAGAAAGAGTACATGAAGTTCTCAGAAAAAAGTAATGGGGAGATATGGGAGGAGTTGGAGGGGAGGGAGTGGGCATGGATTTGATCAAAACACCTTATATGGTTATATCCCTATATGAAATTCTCAATAAATTATTTAAAAAAAAAAAAAAAAGCAGAATCTAAATCACAGCATTAGGTTTAAAGCCCAGATCAGCATTTTCTGTGTAGGTGACAGTAGGAGGCTCAACTCTCAATGCCCTTTAAAATACAGACAATAATCATCTCACAAGGTGCCTAGCAAGTGGAAACTATTTGCATGAACCACTACTGTTTACGGCTGCATTACTATTACAGCAGGGTCCATTTTTGTGTACCTCTCTCCATGCCCACTGCACGTAGGATCACATGGCATAGGTATGAACAAATGTTCCATGGGGATTACATCTTACTAGGTCTGAACAGCACAGTGGGAGGGGCTGTCAGGTTCAGTCCTGTGCTGGTGGAATGCTACAAACCTGAGGCTTCAGTATGTTGAGAGGAAAATGCTCAGAGCAGGCTGAGTGCAGTGTGATGTTGGCTCAGCCGTCTCCTTGGATGCCGTTTTTCAGATGCTAAAAATGTTAGTTTTGCTTTCTTGGTATTGTTGCTCCAATCTGTTAACCTCCAAGTAAACTGGAGCTGCCTACAGAGTACCCCAAAACCCCAAGAGGGTCAGCTAGAGAGTACAACGAATAAAACACTGATCTCACCCACTAAAAGGCCTCCATTGGAACCTCCATTGATTGTCAGCCTCCTGGGAGATGTGTAACCTTCCTTGATCAGATATTCAGCAGCACACTGAAAGTCATCAAAGCAGTTTTGTTTGTTGGCCAAGATACCACCTGCAAAGTCAAAGATAATTAACAAAACAACACAAAAGGTAAGTCTGAATAACATGGAATTCCAATGAGGAATGAGGACAGGGCACAGTTTCCATTACTGATCAACTTAAACAATGGCTGCTGAAGTCACATATGCAGAAATGCCTCAATTTCAATTTTTTGTACTAGGAAATCTCACCAATACCACACTGGAAACCCACATAGTGAGTTTATATTTTAGTTAAAAACCCCAGAACTTAAAAGGCAAGACATCAAAAAGAATCTTTACTTCGGAGAAACTGAATGAAAAAATGAAATATCAACTCTCCGAGTTCCACCCAGAACAGAACATCAAGGCTGGTGCCACGGCCCAGTGGGCCTCCCTCTCTCAAGAGCTCACCCTTCCTCTCTGCAGCATATTAAAGTGAAATGGTGTACTTTTGCTCCATCACCCATTTAAAGAAAAATAGGAATTATCTGCTAGGTGGCACTGCAGCTCAGTGGCTTGTCTCAGTTCCTACAAGAAAAGCCTCAGATGTCGCCCAGGAATATGGGCTCATCGCCTGTATCTAAGTCCTTCCAAGTACGAAACCAAAGAAACCATTCAGAGAAAAACAGTTACAGGGTCTTGGAATATTTAAGAGTAAAAGCTTCAAAGGAACAGATATCTGAAGTAACTGCCTCCGAAATGAACAAAAAGCAGACCCAGATCTAATTAGATATTTGAGATTAACCACTTCTGCAGAAATTCAATTAAAGATGAAGCATGCTACTGAAAGAATTTTTTCACATCAAAACAAATGTTATTAAGATTTTAATAAGCAATTACTGGTGAATTAGAACAGCTAGGATTACTCAGTTTCCAGAAACAATATCATTTGGTGTACATGCCTATTTTTAAAAGAGCATTAAAGTTTAAACTCGATGAACAGAATGAGAATTAGATGTGTATTTGGTATATTAGGCTATAAATGGAAAAAGGCCCCTTCTGGCCCTTTCACTGCCTAACTTTTGAAGCTGTCTAAAAGCATTTTAGCCATAGTCAAGTTCCAACCTGTGTACTCTTGAGGCTTTGGGCAATGGCTGGTCTAATTAATGAAAGGATGGAGAAAGAGAGCAGACCAGGACCAAAGATACCCTCTTCATCAGACCATGGAGTCTAGTCTCCCATGGAGGAGAATCTGGTTCAGGAGCTGGTCTAAGGATCGGGATCTGGGGCCAGGATATGTGTCTGTATACATAACCACATACAATCTAAACAGAAAATCAGATGAGCTAAGGGGTCTAGTCATAGCATATAAATTTGGGATGTAAATCAAATTTATGATATGTACACTTTTTCCTCTCTTCTCAACCGTCTTTTATATCATAGTGTGTATTCAGTGTAACATCACAGTATGTATTTAGTGCAACTGAATTCTACTATTAGGCCAAAAATCATACACTGAATCCTAAGCAGTTTTAAGTATGGTGTCAACTGGGCACAGGACACTGAACAGCTGAGCAAGCAGTGGCTGACAGGCCGGACTGTCTGTTAGTTACGAGCACTAACGCTTGCTTAGATGCTCCTGTAGTTTGGTGACTAATGTTAGCTGAGCCCTTGGGGTGTGTGCTGGATGCCAGGGCTAGGCCCCAACCTCAGTAAGATCTTCCTTAGGAGGATCTTCTTGGTGGGCTCACCCTGGGGGTGAAGAAGAGCGGTGTCCGATGTTCCTGTGGTGGGATGAGGTGCCCTGCACGTGGTGCTGGCAACAACCCAACCACTGGTCCTGTGATAAATGGGGGCAGATGACAGGAATGGGGAGTGTGCAGCTGAAATAAGCCTCTGCAAGGACACTGGACTACAGCAAGTGAACAATTTCAGCTATGTGAAAGTCTGGACAAGGGGTGGGTGGATGGGCTCCATATAGAAACAAACAGAAGAGACAGGGTTTTAAACTAAAGACCATCATTAAAAAAACAAACCAAAACCAGAGCCTATAAGCTCTGAAGCTGAGAACCAGTATCACGCTTCAGGCCAGGAAATAAAGATCCAGTCAAACTACAAAGGTCAAAGGGCTACATTCCTTGGTCTAAAACCTACCCAACTTGACCTTCCCAGCACAATGTTAAGAAGATAGGCCTTCTAGGCAATGCTGGAAACCAGGAGGTGCCCACACTGCGTGCAGGACAACTGCAAGAGCTTCTTTCCCTTAAGAGATATCTGTGAAACTTCTTTATGAGATAGCCAGATAAAGCCAAACAAAGAAGTGAGGCCATCAGGAGATAGAATAAATACCAAGAAGCCTGTCCCTTCCAAGACTCTTTCCTGACACTAATAATTAAAAATATACCTCAGGCCCCAAAATTATGGTCTTATGAGAAATATGTCTGGAAACGTGTGCTTCGTTATCATAGACTGTTAAGGCTCAGATAGCCCCGCCCCCTCACCAACAGAGTCTCATGGGCTTCTCAAGCTCCTGAAAGAAGGAAACCAAGTTGATAAGCACCCTGGTCTTTGAAGTCAAGAGAAGCAGACTTTTCTCCACTGTTTGGCCAACACAGCAGGCTTCCCCTTTGATCAGTCCTGCTCTCCCACTTCCCCTGCCCAACTTTAAAAAAAATACATCTTCCTACCTTCTGCAGGAAGCAGAAGCCTCCCCCTTAAAAGACCCCAGCTCACAACCCGGGTAGACATTTTCCCTGCCCAGAAGGGAATCTGTCCCATGTGTTCCTTTGCTAATAAACTCCACTTTCTCCTGATCAACCCTATTCGTCATATGGCTACTTTTACCTATCACAGACTACAAAGGAAAAGAAAACATGAAGAGAGTTGCTTTTAACAGGGTAGTAGTGGGTATGATGTGTTTGAAAGACAATAGGTTGGAAACATCAGTACAACCCAAGCCTCAATCAGGCTAGACTTGTGTTTCTGTAGAGACACAACACCCTACCTTTATGCCATGTCTCTCCATATTCGCCACCGCCTCTGATGTTAGCCACCGCCAGAACGCCGCCCATGTGTCTCACAAAAATGAGCCTGGACACGCTGAGAAATAGTGAAGACAGTTTAATTTTCTAGCAACTCCAAGCTTCCTTCCTCCATCTCAAAGCAAAAATGTACCCTAAGAACACTCCATTCATAACAGCATCTAGATAGGAGCCCAATATTTTTTATTACTTGATTAAAGTCAAAGACATATAACTTCTGATTAATGTTCCCCTGCAAAGCTCATGTATCTTCATAAACAGTACAACCACGTTTCTATTTTGGCAAATAACGCACTGTGCAATTCATAATGCAGACACAGAAACAACCAGAGGCCCTGCTTCACACTGCCTCTACCTTTGTGATAATTATCAGGGCAAACCGACCCATCGCCAGGTCAGGGTGGTGCTGGGCTCGTAGCGCAGGCACACCAGACAGTGGGCCTGCCCCGAGTAACACTTTAAACTGCTCAACTTGGGGGAAAAGCAAGCTCTTTCTCGAACAAGGAGTTCTAAGTATATTTTTTCACTTCTAAAGAAAACTCAGATGTCAAATTAGGCAATACAGGGTGACAGGCAGGAAGGAGCACACAGAATCAAAGACAAGGGCTGCAGAGTATGTTCTAGAAATTAAAGAAACTACAGCGTGAACTATCTAGGAATAAATATTAAGCCCTTTGGAAGACACAGATTTTGTTTCCCTTTTCTTTTGATTCTGACCCTAAAAATGGGAATAACATTTATTTTTCTATTGTTAAAAGTAATTTTTCTTTGAGCACTATTTCTGAGAGTGTTACCATTCTTTTGTTGTCAGAGGTAAGCATGGGTTGCTGAGGGTGCCTGCAAATCTTACCCTTAGCTGGTCCGAGTGCTAGATTTTTGGATTATCAAAGATGAAGATGAAAGGTAGTAAAAGCTGAGGTAGATACGTACAATCGGTCCAGCCATGCCCAACTAGCCAAAATGATTTTCAATGATTTCATCTTCTGTATTTTCATGAATTGCTGATGGCCTCTCCTGAGATGGTCTCATAGCTGGCTACTGGGATAAAGTGATCTGGGGACCCCTCTCTTGATTCCCAGCCCAGAGGCATAAAAAGAACTTACTACACAAACCAACAGATGGCTGTTTTAGTCACAGTAGATCCACTCAGGGATCAATGTGGTCTTGATCCCTACTGGGATGAAGAGAGTGGGGTCAGCATGCAAGTCTCTTGTTCACTGGTGCAACCACGAGTCACTGCCCCTCTACTTAAATATCACTGATTTGAACCTGAGGTCAGTAACTACCACTCTGAGGGATAAACAGCAGCAAACAATACCGTATTTTAGTTTAGGATTAGGCTGATAGAATGAACAATGACTGGCTTGCACTTTCAGATCGACTATCTCAGAAATAAGTGTGGCCTGTGCTTGTACCACCGAGATATGGCTGAGCAACCCAGGATAAGGTTTGTAGCAGTGAGACTGCTCTTTCAACTCAGGTCCAGGCTGCACCCGGAGTGGCCCTGCGACAACCGAACTCTTCCAGTTCCCTTCAGTTTATTGGTAAAATGATGCCACACAATCTACATCATGAAATACTGCTCTGTATCATGATTTTAAACAAAAGTATAAACTCCAACTCCTAAGCCAGATGTTCAGGGTAGCCCGTTGTCTGGTTTAAAGTCATTTGAGGACACAGATCGTCTTTCATACATCATTAAATCTCAAATAATGAGCAGTTAGAGTTACTGTGTGTCCAAAACAAAGCAACAGCTTTTCTTGTAGTCAAGTCTAGGACAGGTGGTTGATTGTTATGAATCAGTATGTGGAGGTCCATCAGTTCACAAATCTCTTCATAAACAGAAAAGATCCCGGGCAAATCTGTGAACCAGATCTCCAATTAAGCTCTATTTAGAAGTTAGCTTAAAGCTGGTGTTATATGTAAGAATTTTTTTTTTAAAAATTAAAAATGCTCAAAGAAAATTCCATTTTATACTAGGAATGGGATATTAGAATCAGGTTTGCAAAAACTTACAGGAGCTATTTAAACAAGAAAAAGTAATGTATATGTGTAGATAGAAGCATAAGTTATCTGGGAAATAATTACAAAACAGTTTAAATTGGATGGGGTATTAGAGCATTCTGAAAACATATTTATGGCTGAATATTATAACAGTCTATTTTAAGCCTCTGTGTTGGTGAAAAATATAATCGTTATCTGAAAAATCATTCCTGTGAAGAGGATGCAGAGTGATGGGATGGCAGCCAGTGACGAACACTGAAGACAGGAACTTCTCAGTAAGATTTCAACCGACAGGGATTTCTACCCAGGCAGCTGTAGCCTCAACATCTGTACGCCAATAAGCTTTGAAAATAAGTAAAATTAGCTTGCAATGGTTCTATAATTCCTGAGCAAAAATTCAAGTAGTTATCCAAAATCCTGCCCCTCTAGGAAAAAATGATTTAGTAGACCAATCTCTGGTGGCTTTCCACTACGTGCAGAAGATCAAATACATGCCAAGTTCCAAGAACACCTCATACTTACCTGTAGTTGGGTGTAATGGATATGTTGAAGCCACCATAGCCATATAAGAAAGCAGGATGTGAGCTATCCAATTTTATCCCTTTTTTATGTACAATAAACATTGGAATCTTTGTGCCATCCTTGCTAGGGTAGAAAATCTAGAATAAAGGAAAGCAGAATCCTTAGGTCAGCATTATGTGGTAAATACTTGCATGATTTTAAAGGTGAAAACAATTATTAAATTCTCTGTTGCGGTCTGAATGAGAATGTCCCTCATAGGCTCTAAGTATCTGGACACTTGCTCTCCAGTTCATGGCGCTGTCTGGGGAAGGTCATGGAGCCACGAGGAGGTACAGAGAAGGTGTGGCCATGCTGGAGGAAGCATGTCACTGGGGGCAGGCCTTGAAAGTTTAAAGCTTGCCTACTTCTATTCTGGTTCTCTGTTTCCTGTGCCTGCTCGAAGATGTGAGCATTCAGCTTTCTGCTCTGGTTGCCTCCTGCCATGCCTGCCCACCATGAAGATGGACTCTTATCCCTCTGGAACCACAAGCCAAATAAACTCCTCTGTAAGTTGCCTTGGTCATGGCATTTTATCACAGCAACAGAAAAGTAACTAATATAGCTGTTCAAGATGTACAGCAATACAATGAAAACCTAGCACTGCTAAAGGGCTATCTGACGAGGCATGTTTCCATTTCACAGAAGTGGTTTGGAGCAGAGCAGAGGATGCGTCTGACAACTGGGAGATGAATGTGAATTCCAACTCCATTACTAGCTAGCTAGGTGCTCTTGGGCAAGCTGTTCATCTTTCCTTAGCCTCAGTTTCTCATCTCCCTAGATATACCCATCATGCCCCCTCTCAGGGCCTTCACCAAACACAACAGAGAACAGGTGTTCAGTCCTCTGCTGCTCCTTCCCCCCTCAGTTCTAGAAAGCCAGATTCCGCTATGCTGGGGATCAATTTAATCTAAGGAGACTTCCTGTCTTGAAGACAAATTTCACATTCAACTTCCTCTCTAAAGGTCAAGATACTCAATATATCCTCATTTTTCTATGTTCCAAGTATTAAACAAATGTTAGCAAGAACAAAAAAGATTAACTCAGAGAGCTGATGAGGAGCAACATAGAAATCCTATTATTCCTGGTTAAACAAGGCTATTTTCTCCAGTATTGATAATTAAAGCTCATAAAACCTTTCTAAATCTGGGCCATCTAAGGCAAGTTCAGTCAACATTTCCATATTCATTACTTTAGGGATAAAGGATTAAGAGAAAAAGGATAAGGACGGAAACATTAAATGCTTTCCAAGTGATAAGCCACAGAATAAATGATAAGCTACAAAAAGCTGATAAACACAAGCTGTAAATAGCTTTCTCTTTGGGCAAACAAGGTATTTTTACCCCAACTGACATTGGGAAGAACTCTGGCTTAGCTAGGGTCCAAAACATCCTAAGGACCGTCCATGCTTTTATGCTTCTATGCTTTTATATTTTAGAGCTATTCTTCTTAGGGTTGGAGCTCTGCTCCAGAAAGTTGTCTCGAAGTCCTTGGAAATAAGCAGTGGGTTCAGGGAGAGGAAAACGGGCAGGTGATGTGGCTACAGGAGCAAGTGTTACAGGAGGTGCCAAATACTTGTCTGTTTCTGTTTTTGGGTTTGTTTGTTTTTAACTTGTCAGTATAAAACTTTCGTTTCTGACTTTGGAGAGAAATCCTGCTGAGAGACGAAATAATCCTGGCAGTTAGGAATCCTGGAGAATACTCTGCAGATTTCTAACTGATCAGAGGGGACAGTTTTATTTAAAGTTATTTAGTGTCTTCTGTAGCCACTAATGAGTGTAACTATATTTGGATACAAGTAAATAAAGAGTAAGAACCATCTGAAGTGCCTGCATCACCGAGTTGGAAGATTCCGGGCACTTTAACCACAGAAGCAAACAGCATCAACAGAGAAACTGTCTCACTTTGTAATTGAAACATGTGCAAAACAAAGTGTTCCCTCCAGATACCCACAACTGTTTGCACTGACCCCAGGCCCTGCCTTGAGCTCCTGGCTGTTACCCAGACAGGTGAACAGATGTTCCTTTCCTCTGCTACCCCCTCTCAGACTTCCGCCTGTTCTCAGAGTGCTTTACCTCTCATGCTATGTGATACCTCAGCTCCTTCCTGAGACACCACCTTTCCTGCTCCCTCCTGAGAGCTGGCCCGTGCTCTCCCTCCCATCTGGCTCCAGGACCAAAGCATCCTTTTAGAGCACTATCAAAAGCCCCCAAACTCCATACCACTCCCTGACCCCCAGTGTAGAGTTACAACCATAATTTAAGTTGGCATGATTCTGATGTTAAAATTACAATATTCTGAACTGTTCAAAAGTCAAAGAATATGGCAAAGGTCCAGAAAACACCCCGCTATTTCAACTTAAAACTTACACGTATCTGTTTGCACACCGATATTCTACACCTTTTCCATTTTCCACTGACCACTGACCCTAACCCTAAGCTTGACTTTCCATGTGAGCATTTAGAAAACAGTCATTCAAAGTAGTGGAGCCATTTCCCATCATGCATTTTCTACTTCTTCACATCACACGACACTGGCTTCCATTTGAAACCACTTTGCTAAGCTGAAGAAGTCAACAACCTTGGCTCCTCAAACCTCACCAAAAAGTTCTGCATCTGTCTATGTCTACCCTTCTTGGTTGGGTCTAAGCATCTATGGAGAACCTGTTAGACATATTTTTCAAGCTTCATTATAGGTGGAGCACCCCCAACGGTGTAAACTTAGCACATTTCCTGGCACTCTTCAGCAGGGGGATCTGGGCTCAAACAGTTAGTCACTCCATTTGTTTTCTCCATTCCTTCTATTCTCATAATCTACTGTCAATGAAAACCAGGTATTTCCTACGGTCCTCCACAACTTTAATACGGAACTCTGTACTTCTGTACGTCTTTCTACCAGGTTCTGTGGCTTCTCTTAGTGGCCTTGACAATGAAATAGATGACCTTACAAGTATAAGAATGCATCAAGACCTTCATCTCTCCCCCTTCCTAAGCCTTAGTTCATTCAAACATTTGTGGTGTCCATCATGTGCTAGGCAATATGCCATGCATGGGAAACACGGGCGAGCATGACCTGCACGGTCCCGGCATCTCACACCATCACCTCAGACCTTAAAGCTTGGCAAGGTTTAAAAAGTTCTTAAAGTTCTTCTGCAAGGAACCAACACACCACCTTCTGACCTCCACCTGATCTCTTACCACCTGTTTCCTTTCTTCCTAGGGTCTTTATTATCACTTTTAAAGCTTTTATGACACCCAATCCCTACGTTACCTTCAACTGCCAGCCTTCCTTATGCTTTCTTGCCCAGTCTAGACTTCTGCTCAGCCTCATGAACTCACTAAAACCTGAAACTCTGTAATTCTAATCCCAACCCACTGGTTCATCTTCTCCCCTGAGTGGCTAGTCACTACATCACAAATTAGCAGCAACCGAGCTCATCTGGGCTCTGAAATTATGAGTAATGACCCCCTTCCCACCATTATGTGAGTCCTTTGTATTATCTTCCTGTCTTTCCTAACGTCTCCTCATACTCCTGTCCTCCACCATCGCCACCCAAGAAGATTACAAAGTAGCTGATTCCAAGCCTTGCCCTTTCTTGGACACTCACCACCATCCACTGGCATCCCCTTCCCTCTGGATCTGGCCCATCCTCACAAAGGCCATCTGCTGGGAGTTCTCAAAAGACCTTCTAATCCCACTCGGCCTCTACAACCTCAAATAAAGAATCACCAGATATCGGTTTCACGCCTTACCACTCCCTCTGCTGCTTCCCTCTTCCAATCACCACTTACGCACTAATTTTTTTCCTCTCCAGGGCATGTAAACAGATGCACGTGTACCCTATCCTATATAACAAAACAAAGCCTTCTGTACTACCTTGTATGCTCTTCAAGCTGAATTTCTATCATCAGCTTCCTTCCTTCCTGAACTACAGTGAACTACACTCGGAGCTCACCACTCTCTGACCTCTACCTCATTTACTCCGGTGCCTGGTCCCTCCCTGCTCTTTCAAAAGTAAGTGCTCCAGCCTTCCCCTGGCTCTTCCACTGCTGGCTCTATCTGCTGCACATTCTTCCCAACTCTTCCAGAAGCCCTGGAGACACACCTGTCTATACAAATCAGGGGAACAGGTCTATCTCTCACCTCAAACACCTCTCCTTTCTCTGCATCTATAATTTCTGCTGTCTACTGTGGACATAGTCCTGTAATGGGATGCTAAAGCTTTTCTGAAAGCCTTAATGGGTAGGAAAACAAAGTGCTTATATGGATCTAGCAGGTGCCCACCTGAGAGACAGGAAAAGTCTATCATCCATGGCTAATGGCTGATCATGAGGCTGATGACACTATCTCCACCTTCTCGCCAAGGACACAGCAAATGGGCCAGCCAACAGACTCTTCTACAAGAAGGCTGTAGTGGACCCACCTTTTACCTTAACAGAGTATAAGCCTCACCAAAGAGTGTATGGTGGACAAATGACTGTTTAGGAGCACGGTCAAATCTCTAGAGAAACTATCTTAGAGTACAATGAAATAAGCTTTCAGAAAGATCGCAAACAAAATCCACAATGCAATAGCAATCCAAAATGACAGTGATCCAGCCAAAGAGCAATCAAAGTTAAACAATGATTTAAGAGAGCATTTTTCTTTTTCTTAAAACTATTTATTTATTTATTTATTTATTTATTTAATATGTGTGAGTGTTGTGCCTGCATGTACGTAAGTGCACCCGGTGTCATGCAATGCCTGAGGAAGCCAGAAGAGGGCATTGGATCCCCTGAAACTGGAGTTACAGATGGCTGTTAGCTGCCACATGGGTGCTGGGATTTGAACCCTAGACTTCTACAACAGTAGATAGTGCTCTTAACCACTGTACCATCTCTCCTGCCCACAAGAGTTTTTTCCTCTACTTTTCTTTTTCACCCCTTCGAAATTTCATTTTTATTTATTTTTTAAATCTTTTTGAGACAGGGTCTCCCTGTGGTCCCAGCTGGCCTGGAACTTACTATGTAGACCAGGCTGCCCTCAAACTCACAGAGATCTGCCTGCCTCTGCCTCCCAAGTGCTGGGATTAAAGGTGTGCGCCACCATGCCGGGCCAAAAT